CATGTACCGCTATGCGACACCACGACTAGTCTAATTACAAGTTCTCGCTTATTAGCATTTATATTTTTGTATTAAACTTGACATGTGTAAGTTTATACTGAGATTAGGGTTATAGTATTTTGGCATGGTCTCAGAAACTAGTTTTTAACGAAACTTAACAGGACCATGAGGATAGATTTTGTTTTTTTTTTAGGTTATTGTACCGTTAGCAGTATTATGGAGACATACATATATGAGGTACAATACATCTTACACTCAATTCATAGTTGCTATCAATTAGCGAGTTGCGCTTGGCGTGTCCGGCCCTGCAGCGACAGCCGGCGTGGCGTAGATTGACGAGCCTCATACGGCACCGCTAGCTGCTGAAGTCTTTGATAAATTGCAAAATAAATTATAGAATATATCATAACAACAAATCAAGATTTATAATAAAACTCATCCAAATATTCTTGATAAAATATAACTCTCCAAGACTTAACATTGACATGACTGTGGGAAATGGCTAAGCTTGAGGAAGAATGAAAGCTATAGTTTCTGATTGCGTCACTTCCGCATAGCAAATTATAGCATAACTTTTTGTAATCAGTCACATAAATCCATCGCACGTGTTTCTAGCATCACGCTACAGGGAAATTACGTCCAAATGTGTGACGTGTTAGAGTGCATTAACAGCGGTCGAAGCAGTCAGGGGCGCGGAGGCAGGTTGGCGGGGTACGTCGGGGGTACTTTCGCTGCGCGAAAACTCTTTCACTTTCCGCGAGACGTTTTCTTAGCGAAGCGCGCTAATTGCCCATTAAAACACTAATGAGCCGGCGTCGCGTGCCGGTGGCAGTTAGCGGTCAGTCGCCGGTCGACAGTCGAAGCCAAGCAAGAGGAAAGTGGCAAGGAAGCCGGTGTTGATGAACTATCAAAGTTCAGATTCATCAAGAGGTACGGTGATCAAATAGTACGTAAAGATTAAAAATAATACAGTCATATAATAAGCAAGGAAACGGATAACCTCGGGCGTCCATCGCGGTACATCGATCATCATTAACTACGATTTAGCAGCTCACACGCAGGCGACAAGCCGAGTCTGAGCTCGAGCACCGCTTCCGCATTGTATTGCAATTGCTATTGTTTGCTCTCAGATCTCGCTTCCTCTTGTCTCCGCAAATCAAACACATTATAAATTTTATTATATCCCAGAACTATTAAAATACGTGAGTGTACATTAAAGCTTGTGTTATCGTAAACTTATTAAACTAAAAAGGTTGTCGTTACGTTTGTTTTACGCACATCTATACGTTTTTCGTTGAACATTGCATATACCACTGAGATATGGGAACAGTTAGTTTTCTTAGTTATACATCTGGAAATCATAATAAACTAATCTTGCTATATAGGCATGGCAACAAGAGGCAGTGGCACAGCGGACGGTGCGGACGGCGCGGCGCTGGAGCGAGTCGACGACCTTCCGATTATTGACGGCAATTACTCAGCAGTGTGCGACTATACCTACTGGTACCACATTGTTCGTACTTCGACAGCATACCATGTGTATTTATAATGTGGCTTTACTCTTCCGGATATTTGTTTCATAGAAATTTCTACATAGATAATACAGTTTACGCAAAATATCAAAATCTGCTTCAAATTACTGAAGAAGCCACGTATTGATAACAATGTTTTTGCATGAATTAACAAGTTTCCTTTCCTCAATTAGGAGCATATTTTGTGTACTGTTAATTTTAATTAATAATTGGAGCATTGATAAAATTGATCGAGTTTGTGGCAAAGCTTGTTTTTAAGTTAATTTTAACCAAAGTGTAACCAAACATAAATAGGTCGTAATCTTAATGAGATTTCCTGTACTGAGGGCCGTGTGGGTAATTAGAGCCTCCTCCGACCTTATCGGCTTCCTTAGCCCCACGCCGCGCCGCACCGCGCCTCGCGTCTGTGCCGTGTGATAACGCGCGCGCTTACGATAATGTTTCGAACGATTTCGATCGCCTCCGCAACCCATGAACGTGCGCAACTAATTTAATGTTTGCAATGCGCAGCCTAAGTGAGGTTTACAGGCAGTTGTTTTGACAATTTGCCTCGAACATGATTAAATATCCTTTAGCAAATAAATAGTAGATCAGGTGTAGCTGACTTTCCTGAGAGAATCTAAAGTCGAATATAGGAAACACCTTTTTAAAGCTTTATCATTTAACATAGAGCATTGACTAAGGCATTTTATTAATGACGCTACTCCGTGATGGTGATGGTGTTGGCAGCAAGCCACAAAGTGATGATGGCGGTTGGTGCAGTGCGGTGCGCTGGTCGGACCTTGGCCAACTCGGCGATTAACTCTCGCCGCAGCCGCTGCGGTACAATTTACATAAAAAAACGCTTCGAGAGCCGAAGGTTTGTGCAATCAATCTAGGTCAATGAGCAAACTTAACTCATTATTAAACGGATGATTTGAAACTTTCGTAATAAAGGAAAATATTCTTGATTGCTGTAAAACATAAATTGCCTAAAAGCCATTACAAACTGGGTTATGACCTAAAAATGAGGATTGTATCGCACCACTCTGCTACACGCCAATAGGTATAAAAGAAGAGCGAGAACTATCGCTGAATTTAAAAAGAAGATCAGCATACCATAGATGTCAGGTGAGATTTTTTCCCGGTTCTGTTGTGTTTACCGTAACAAATATGTTATGACAGCGTGACTCAAAGAGCAATGCGCCTGCGCTGTACGCAAGTAGGTACTGTAGTACGGCGGCCTGTTGAAACACACGGACGGACAAGCACTCCGTTCTATAAATACACATGTAATTATAGATTACGACGTCCTTGGCTCTTCGGACACTGGCGACGCTTGTCGGTTAATTTATTGTGGTTTAATCGAATGCAGCACGATGACGACACTCTGAAGTGCCTCCCGTATCAAACGAATGTCTTTAGCAATTAACATTCTTAAAGTATTTACCTATTTTGATTTTATCATACAGATGAGCAAACTAGGTACTTTACTACATATTTATTAAGCATAGAAATACTCTATACTTTTTAATTTTGCATCGATTCGTTACTACGGATCTCACGTTCGAATATATTATGAGTACGTTTCGGATCCCCGTTTTTACCCAAATTTTATTATGCAATACTAATTAATTATGAAGGAATTCTTTACGCGCAGCCTGCCGCCCGTAACGCGGCCGCGGTTAATTCGCTTGCGTATGTAGCATAAATCATAAATTACCACTAATTTGCGAAAATAAACACGGCTTCTGCTGTTGATAACGTTGATTTATATGGTGTTCATTAAATTATAACTGAATTCGTAGTTTGTATTTACTGAATACACGCGTCAATTAAGTCAATCGTCGTACATATTTTGCACAACATTTTCTACAGTAAGTTTCCAATTGATCCCCTTGTTCTACAAAACAAAAGCTTATTTATAAGAAAACATGCTACGGATCGCCTAATATTATGACGAGTTTCCGAATAATAACATTATCACAAGATGAAGGAGGTAGTCTTAATTTGTTGGCATTAGGTATTCGTTCAAATGGAATCCATGTTATGAGAATAAAATAATTTTTACAGTACACAATCTCAGTTTAAAGCTGGCGGACGTACGGGAGCGGCGGGCAGGCCCGGTTCCCCCTAACTACTCACTTCCCACTCCGCGGCGGAACTCAGGCTCGTACTAATTCCCACAAATTAATTTTCATCTCACTTCGAACGTATTGTATATTGTACTTCACTTGACTTGAAGTAAAGTATATCCATGATACTTTAGGAGTTTCTCTTATTGTGTAAAGACTTCTTTTAACAAGTGTTATTAATGTAATTATCCACTTAGGACGAAAGCGTTGCGCGACGGAGAAACGTCGGTAAAAGTCGAGTGAAACGGGAGCCGTCGGAGCGCGCAATAACTACCATGACCCACGTACTACTGTCATTTCAGAGTTAATGATTATTGGCACTTTGTAGTTCAATATTTCAGACCGTTTTCTAGTCCGTTGCTAGTCACGGAATATTATGGTATAATATTATGGTAACATCGTTTGATGTAATAATCATATAATATTTTAAATTATCTCACGCTTCCAAAAGTAAATGAACCAAGAAATGCTTCAAAGTAATAATTGAGAAAGTAGAAAACCTTGAAACCTGTACTTTAACTACCAGCCTGCAACCTTTACAGTTCCAATATTTCAAGTAAAAAAAAAATAAAGTACCGAATCAACAAACGAGATTCGTTTCTAGAAGAAGGTATATTGTATGGCAGTATTTTTATGCAATGTACGTTGCGCCCGGACAGCGTGACATTGTGCCGAGTGCTAAGGTCCTCGAGTCCTCGCCCACGGGCCCCGGCACGGCGGGGTCTGTGCCCGGCGCGCGGTCACCTCCAATAAGAAGTATCACATTACGAGAATATTGAATACATTAAAGGTCTTTGAATAAATTACCTTCATTATCACTAACATATAATCCTACTGTGTATTTAGATAAAGTTACGATATTTGTTTATTTTGGCATTAGAAGAGGGTCTGTAGTGCTTTTCATTTAATCGTGTTTAGACCACACGTATTAAAAGATTCGGAGATTCAGAAATTTTGTTCAGACGCCAGTTTGTTCAGTTTTTAATTACATTATTTTTATGACAATTACTTTTTATTGTTGTATATGCAGTGCAAAATGACAGCGTTTGTTTGAATAATGTCGACATAGTAACGAGCGTGATGGGGCGACGCACGCCACCTACCTCACTAGACTTGTTCTTCCCCGGGAAAATACAGTTGAGGGGGTGACCAATAGCATGACTAACTAATAGTTTTAGTTAATAAAAGTAAATTAAATATACAAATGTACTCTCCAATGATAGTGCTAAATTAATACAAACAGAACTAACCTGCTCGAATGATCCTGAAAGTTGCCCCCGTCCAACAGACGGACCTTTGCGAAGAGCACTGCAGAGACGAAGGGCACTTCCGTCAGTTCCTCGAGGCAGCACTGGACCCCGAACTTGTATCGCTTCTTCTTCGTCATGAACGCCATGACGCCGCACACATCGGGCCCCGGGCAGAGGGCCCGCACTCGCGCGCTCCGAACCCACCCGGCTCAGGACGCACTGGACCCGTTTGGTACGGACCAAACTGAACAAGACCTGATCGAATCAGTTTTTGGTACGCACTAGCACAAGCACTTCACTTTACATGTGTCGCGAAAACGCACTTGCAAATGAACGTATTAGGAAGCGAACTGCACAGCCTAGTTATTTGAAGAAGTAAAATGGTAGACTAATTAGATTGTCATCGGGGAAGCTGGCGGTACGAGGCGGCCGAAGCCCGGGCCGTCGCATAGCGGCCGGCGGCAGTCTGCAACAAGAGACAGCGGTTAGTTCATTGTCATTGCGATGACTACGCATACAATGAAGCGAGCGTGTTTATAGAGATAAACAAACAACTTTTAACACAATACACAACATTAATCTATTTGTTATTTAAAATGTTCATAAAAGTGTTCAGAGCAAAGATAAACAATGCAGTATAAATGATAGAACATATTGAAGAATCAAATTAATTATAATACAAACACGTCTAACTTTATTGAAAAACAAAGAAACCCTACAATTACTTAAAATAAACACCTTCAAATGACATTGTTGTAGTGGTATGAAGCCGAAAAAGTATTCTTATTTAAAAATTGTGACTTCTATGTACAGTTTTTTAACATATTTGTGCCGTACGATTAACCAGACGAGACGTGTTTACTTACAACGTGGCGTGTTGTCAAAAGTTGAGTGCAAACGCACGCGCCTCCCGCGACGGTACGCGCCCTTCACGTCACCTGCAACAACACACCATTCCGTGTACACAACCACACGGCCACAACTAAAAAACGCCACGTCATTTATTTTGTTATGAGACCGGTATTGTAAACTTAAATATTAAAACATGATCATCATTGAACGGTACAAAAAAAAAAGACGCCTATAGAGTAATATTTTTCTTCGAGAGTTTTTAAAATATAACAGAACATAAGTATGGTTGGCTAAATTGTTTACATCAGTGTATTGTGGAGAGGCTACTGAATTCGATAATGTAATTAATAAAACATTTATGAAATTTCTTTGGTTGCCTTAAGAAACTTTGATTGGTCAACAGTCGTAATAATGTAAAAAAGAGTGGCTTTATAAACGTATCAGTGAGTTTATAAGCGAGGTAATGAGCGAGGTTGCGGCGCGCACGACAGACGTAGCGATGGCGATTTTGGTGTAGAGTAGCGGCGGTCGCGATCGGC